CATGAAGACCTCCTCTCCTTTTGGTTTTCTCCCCCTCACTTTAAAAGCTTTGGTCTCTCAAATAAGCTACATTTAAACCATTGCTGACGTTTTATTATTAATCAGACACATTGGGCAGTTGATCAGTGCCTTCGATCAGCATGAGGTAACCAGTGTTCCTAAACGGAGTTGATGTAATTTAGTCAGCAGCAAAGAAGCATGATGTTTTGTTGGCATCCTCACTCTGTTCTGCTAAGCTTTGTGAAAGAGTGAGAACGGTTGGTGGATCACCCGTTGCTGCCCACCAGAGCCCTGTACACAGGGCCCTGGCCTACAGGGCATCGATGGCTTGCACCACATCTCCCACCCCCCGTGCAAGAAGGCACCAAGAAGTAATGCCATAAGTGGCAGGAAGCCAAAAAAGCTCCAGTGACTCCCCTGCCCAGCTCCCTGAAGAACTGGACACTTGGTATTTCTTAAATAGAGTCTCAGAGAAAGGAACATGGCAGCAAACCCTCTAGCAGACAATGGAGACCCATTCACGCTTTTGTGTGGTTGTGTAGTGTCAGTGGGGAGCAGACAGGTGTGGTTACCCTGGGGTAACAGTGGTGAGCATGAGGAAATAACATCCTCCTCTCTCCTTGAGGTCTACATGGAAAATGCCAGAGCATTGGGATTGGAGCAGATAAAATTCATTTTAGGGCAAAAACAACAAAAAAAAGCCTTTCTGCAGGTTGTTTTCTCTTCCTACCAGTTTTAGCTCTCTCCTTAGAGGAGTCCTTTAAGACAATGGAACATTCCGTATGTAAAGAGAGAGAACCCGAAAAGCTCTGTGTGCCAGTGTCTCACTTTTAGGAAATCTATTTCCAGACAGAGAAAAATGGCTCTTTAAGCACCTTCTGGGACCCCTGCTTTCCTCTGGATAACCTCACCTTCTATATCGCAGCCAGGAGTACCGCTGCCTCCCCTCCCCCCAGCCAACCCTCCCCCGCCATCCCCCAGCCCTGGGGGCTTTCCCCTAGCCACCTTGAGAAGGTCAGGAAAATTGGAGTTGCCCTCTGGAGCTAGGGACGTGCGACTTAGAACTTAGACGGATCTCTTTTCATTAAGCAGTGCCCTGGCTTAACAAGCAGTTTTATAAATCTGAAGCTGTCTCCGGGTGTCGCAGGATTTATAGACGGGGGTTTCTGCCATAAAGTGGTTTATGATGGCTGCCTTCTGTGTTATTAGTAGCTGTCTCTTCCTTCAACCATTGCTGTTTGATAATAGCCTTAAAACACCCAGAATTACTTACCTGCAAGCCCCATTCCCGATAGCCCCTGTTGACAGTCTGAATAAGTTTAGTGCCCTTTTGTTGTACTTTACCTTCAAAACAAACTGATTGAACCATCAATAGCTCGTGGAAGCTGACAGAGGGATGTCATCTGGACTAGCCCTTGTGATTGCAGGTTATCTGGGGGAGTTAACCTTCCCGCATTGTTAACTGAAATGTTTTATGTACTATGCAACTTTAGGATACGGCTGTGATAACCCCAGTAACTAAGTAATACATCACGGTAAAGAGATTTTGGTGCAACAAATAACCCTGGATTAAATTTACAAGGGTTGAATTGATATTGTAAAAGCCTTCATTCTGTGGCTTCGGGAATCCTCTCTTGTATTTTTATGGCAAACTTGTATTCCACTCAGGATTGAAGCTGCGGCTTTTGACACCCTGACATGACCTAGAACGAAGAGAAATAGATCTCCCGAGACCAGGATGGGACAGGCAGGAAAGAAGCCCATTGACTTAACACTTGGCAATAATCTTTGGAGCCAGTTCCAAGCCACCGAGGGGCAGGAAGATCTGGTAGACGAGGCCCCCGCCTGGGCTCTGTGTACCGCAGGCATCAGGGCAGAGCAGACCATAAGCGCAATGGGAAGGAGACTCTTGGCTGCCTCGCTGTCCTTATACTTCCCGAGCAGTTATTCCTCGTGGTGTTATTTTCACTTGGACATAGGTTCTCAGCAGGACCAGGAGCATCAGCATCACCTGGGAACACATTGGAAATGTAAATTTCAGGCCTCACTCAGGACCCACTGAATCGGAAACTCTGGGGACGGGGCCCAGCAATCTGTGTTTTAACAAGCATCCGATGCCGGCTCAAGTTGGAGAACCACCATGCTAGAATATAGGCTCATTGAGAGCACAAGAGTTCCATTTTGTTCATCACTTTATCTCAGCACCTGGCACAGTTCCAGGCCGGTGGTAGCTGTCAGTAATTACCGTTGAGTGGGTGAATGCGTGAGTAAGCAAACAAAAGACATCTCTACGGGAGGAACTTTGGACCCTGGGCTGAGTCTCAGACTGAACTATTTGGGACAGGTCTTCCTAGTGTCCCTCAAACCTCTCCAGGCAGCAACCACCTAGAAATCCAACCCAGGCTGGCCTCAGGATTGGTGTCACGTCATCTCTAGTTTCAGGCGTGACCAGCAGCCTGTGTCATGGGCTGTCTCCTCGACTGTATAAGAAGAGTGATCTGAAAACAGCAGCTCTTTGTCATCTAAAATTTTTAACTAGCTTAAAAGCCAGCACTTCTCTCTCTCTTTCTCTTTTGATTTCAGGGCTGTGATCCAAAGTGCGGCAAAATGACAACGTGCGGTCTGTTGTCATCGTGGTTCCTGCCAGCCCTGTGAAGGCATCTTTCACTCCATCATTAAACATTGGCTGATTTTCTAATACTGGTGTTTTCTGCACCTGAATATTCATCTTTTCCCACCCTACACTTAGTGGGTGTCTTTACTCCCTTGCGCGTCACTCCTGACATATTGTTTCTGTCTGTACATGTCTTTATTTGAAAGAATCTGTTGTCATCGAGACTTTTCTGCTACATGCAGAAGTTGGAAGTCTTCTCTGACATTGACTGAGGCCTGTGGGAGTTCTGCTGGAGGATAGAACAGACATTCGGGCCCTTCGTGGCACTTTCTTGATTTTTGGATAAGGTTAGGGAGTCTTTGGAGGGGGAAGAGAGAGGCTTAGGGTAGGAAAAAGGGCAATAGATTGAGGCCAGGGAGGAAGCAGGAAGTATTAATAGAGAGTCGAATTTCTAGGACCTCAGCCATTGGAGTGGACATTGCTGAAGGAGGAAATGTATACTTCCAAAAACTTCTGGAGTATTTTGACTTTAACAGTGCATAATATGAAGGTTATTCCTGGAGGCCTCTAAATTATTATCTTTGGCTTTTGAGTGATCATCCAAGTCTTTCACCCTAGCAAGCATGTGAATGCCCCTTGGTGATATGAGACCACCTTATGGATGTGGGGGTGACCCTGGGAACCCCAGGCTCCAATGAGGAGGAAGGTGCCCTGCATGTAGACTCCTAGTAACATCTGCACTGAGAACGGTGTGTGGAGTTGCTTTAGGGTTTGGTTCTTTGAAGCCCACTTGGGATTCCTGTTCCTCCATTTCCATTTAGTTTTTAATCATGCAGTAAGTAACGTAGGCCCCTTTCTCTGTGCCCCCATAACTACTCTGTGCATAACTGCAGTCTTGGCACTTAGCTGTGCTGATTTCTAATTTCTTTATGTGAGTATGTCTTTTCCATTACATTGAGAACCCTTTTGAGAGCAGGAGCCATGTCCTAATCACCTCTGTATCCCTAGGGCCAGCACACGATAGGTGTTCAAGAAATATTTGTGCCACTGAAATGATCTGGTGTGTTAATGACTCTATTTGAATGCCAATTTCCAAGATGTGGTGAGGGTGAGCAAAGAAATTTGCCACTCTCTTTAAGAAGCTTATAGTTTAGGTGAAGATGTCAACTCTTCACCAAGAAAATAATTAGAAAACAACAAAATGTTGGACTGTATGGTGGTGAGAGTGTATTCTAGGAGTGCTGAGAAGGAAGAAGGCAGTGTGGGCTGGAAGTGTAGTAGGAACCGTGATAGGGGTTGGGGCTTGGGAGCTGAGTATATACTGAGGAGGCTGGGCACAGGGAGGAAGTGACAGATTCCCTCAGAGATAATCCATTGCTCTTGACACTGGGTATTCACCTCTTCTTTCTAAACAGGGTCTAAACAGTTGCTCATTTGATTGATGGGGTATGGAGCTTTATGGGAAGCGTGTGGGTTGGTGACTGTCACTGGGGAGGGAGAAGTATAGGCATGGGTCTGTGCCTTTTATACATTTATTTATGTATTTATGTACCCATACCCTGGCCAAGTGGATATTCTTGTCAACTCCACGTGCACCTATTTGAGGACCGTTCATCATACAAATAGCCATTAGCTTATCCCCTGGATAATGGGTACCAAAGAGTCTTTCCAGGGGTATGGAGAGCATTTGCTGGGCTATTAATATCTCCTAGAAAGCAGTTCCCCCTTTTTCTCCTTGATAAAGATAATTTCATAGTGCCTGTGTGGAAATAACCCAGTGATGGTGAGGAAAAAGTTCTCAAGACACTCGCTTGATTCCTCAAGGGAGCATTTCTCAGCTACATGTGTTCCTTTCTTCCATCCCAAAGTCACTGGGTTATGACAGTCTAGTTTATTATCCTGGATGGCGAGTCATGGTCTCTTGTCTCCTCTCCAAGTGGAAGATCTGTTGTCATCTCAGCAATGAGAGTGAAAAGCTGACCCATAGGCATGGCAGTGATGTAAAGGGTACACCCAGGTTGTGGATTAGTTTTACTGAGGACTCCTGTAGCAAAGAAGCTGAGCCCACTTTCCAGAACAGGAGGTGTAACATTGACAGGGTCTTGCTGGCCTGCCCAGGGGTGTGTATGTGTGTGCCTACTTTTGAGCCAAGTGCAGCCATTAGTGTGTGTTTCTGAAGTTTAGTTGTTTGTCTCTGTAAAATGTAACCAACTGACTTCCCCAAAGAGGGATTGTTCATTTCTTGTGGAAGAGCAGAGAAGGAGCAGCCAAGATCTAAGCTCCTGAAGACCTAACAGCGCGGATTCCGGAAGATGAGACAAATTGCCTGGATCTTGGAGTCTGTCACCCCAACCTTCCTGAGTTGTCTCTGACTCTTCTCTTCCAGGTGCTTTGTTCTGCACAAGCTGCCCAACTTGAAGTTTCTGGATGCCCAGAAAGTAACCAGACAAGAACGAGAGGAGGCGTTGGTCAGAGGAGCCTTCATGAAGGTGGTGAAGCCCAAGGTGAGCTGCCCACTCCCTCTTCAGAAGGGAGGCACTGCTTGCACTTACATCTCGTGGCACTGCTTACTCTTCAGGCTGCGGAGGATGTGCTCCCGTGAGGTTAAAATGCAGGCAGGATCTCAAACCAGGGCTTCATCTGTGGATGCGCTGTTGGCCAAACATGAAATAGGACTCAGCATAAATTGGGTCTTCCTGTGACCCAGGCTAAGGGGACCTTATTTTTAAGGTGGTTTCATGTAGGTGGGCTGATTTACCAATAAAGCAGCACCATACGGAGGCCAATGGTGAAGTTCTGGGGAGAATCTCAGGACTCTTTCTTGGAGATGTTTCCAGAGTTCCAAAGTGGATGTTTCCAATTTCAGGCCTCTGCAGGTTTGGAGCCGAGAAAGGAGAAAGAGGAAAGCACTGGGCATGGGTAGGATTCTGGGGTGGGTAGGATTCTTCTAGCACTTTCTTGCTATCAAAGGGGAGCTAAAGGAGAGTGATTTTCTTCCATCACAGGCAAGATCTCAACAATTCTCTGAGATATCATTAGTGTGGAAGGCAATGTTTTCTGACAATGTGTCCCCGGGCTGGCGTGTGCTTCGTACATGTAGCTCTCCAGAGCTTATCAGAATTGGTGTTTACTGACCTTTCCTTTACCAGCTGAATCTGCAAGGAGGCTGTGTAAGTGAATTTGGTGTCATCCTAACGGCAGCTCTGATGAGGCAGGGGAGATTTGGCTTGGAGTCTCAGATTCAGACACAAGGAGATTTTTAAGGAATGGGAAGAGTCGGGGTCCTTCAGTGAAGCCAGAGGCTTGAGGATGGACTTGATGACCCCCAGTGATCCCTTTGGAGAACCATCACCACCCTGGGGCTCTGTGGAGCGATGCATTCACCTCCCCTGAGATTGCAGGTTATGTGTTGAAAGTGCTGGCACAGAAATCCTAGAGGTCTAGTTTGTCCACAGCTATTGACTTAAAGCACTCTGCACGTGCATTGGAAGTGATTAAGGGGGAAAAGAAAAAAAACCAGAAACAAAACAGAACAATGAAAGCTTTTCCATCAAGTCACTCGGCTGGCAGCAGACCTCAGGCCACTTTCTTTCCCTGAATCCATGAGGTGCAACTTATTTCCCATTATGCTGAATAAGATTGCTAGCAGTTGTGGAAATATATGATATGGAAGGTATAATACTGGCAGATAAATGTATTGTTACCTGTTTCAGCATGTGGGAAATTAATTGAGTGATTCATTCGTAGCTATTAAATTGTTAACAGTTCTCCTTATTGAGGCACAGGTTTGACGTATTGCACATGACTGCCTTTAGTTATTCCAGCTTTCGTAATTTTGTCCAAATGAAATAATTTATTTCATGGCCTCCCTTTTTTTTTTTCTCCTGGTGAAAAGATTCTAGGCAGCATCATTACCAAACCCAGCAAAAATACAGCCAACGAACTCTTAATACAGGTTATTATAAATAACTGGTTCACCCTACATTTCTCCTTTCATGTATACATTTGTCTACATGTGTACAGAGTAGATCAATATTTCCTTTGCTCTCTTTGCTTTTGATATGAAAAGCTCTGCATTGTCATTGGAAATCTGAGGGGCTAATAAATGTAAGACCCACTATATTCGGATGGGGCGCTTGATACGTGCCCACCACTCACATAACCCCGTAAGGCAGAAAGGAGGGATCATTGGTTCAGGTAACTCAGGCCTGGAGAAGTTCACTGGGCTGCCCAAGGTCACCTGGCTAGTAATTGCCGGAGCTGGAGTTTGACCTGCGTGTCTGACACCCAAGCCCATGTTCTTCTCACTCTGCTGTCTCACCCCTGGAGCAGTGAGCTAAGTTTTTACCCATGGATCCCTTTATTAAAATAAAACCTCATAGGAAGGTCTAAATGAAGAAAACAGCTAAAAGCGGGACTGTTCTATTGAGTAGGGGTGGGGGGAAATTGAAATGCTCCCTTCTTCTGAAAGCATCTGGGAATGGCTCCTTAAAATCCAGTGTTAGCTGTTTCTCTGAGTCATTAGCAACATCAGCAGAAATGCTTCTCAGAGTTCCCAATTAGTTTCTAATCAATTATAGAATTAGCTCATGTTTGTGTGATTGACTCTAACATCCTTACTAACTGTATTAAGCTTAAAAATGCCTATTAATTATTTGAGGAGAGAGACAAAAATACTCTGACAATGTATAGGGACCTTGGCTCTCTTTTTGTAGAGTCACATGATTTCCAAACTGAAAAGGACTTCAGAAATCACCTGTGTGTGCTCATTCGAGAGATGAGGAAACTTGGAGAGCATGCAGCTCCGTGAGGCCCCACTTGGGACCAGAACCCCCAGGGGTCTGGGATTCCCGTTCAGCGTTCCATTTGTGCCATGATTCCTCAAGTGTACAGAGGATTCCTCCGTGTTCTTGGTTTCGCATCAAAATGTATGCCGCTCTTGAATGGCAGGCAATTGCCTTTTGTCTGTTGTTTTCAGAGATACGCACTGGTACTTTTGTTGCAGATAGAAGCCAAATGAGCTCCTTGCTGAATTCATGAATTGGTGTTAAAAAGGCTGGTTCTCACCTGTTCCCAGTGTGTACAGACATATGTTTGTTCCCATGCAGGTGTGTATATACACTTTCCATCTCTGTGTATATATACATATGTATGTTCTGGGAGGTATGTTTACACGCGGAGTCTTCTAAGTGGAGAGCAATTTCCTTCCTGGGTATTGCCGATGCTGTGCTGAGCACACTCGGCGAAGACCTATTTTTCATAACAGAATTGGAATCTCAAGTTGGCTTCTGTCCTTTCCGAGGCAGCAGCAGCCTGTTGTGCTTATTCAGCAGAATGCTGTGATGGATGATCAAGGGGCCGTGATTTGGGGACCTGTTTTCATTTTATTCCTGACATAAAGTATTTGGGAGAATGGAAAATGCCTCTCCAATCATAGCCTTGCCTTGGAGGTAGGGAACGGGCAGTCTGGGTGTTCTCGGCTGACGCAAATGCAGAATCATCCAGGAGCTAATAAAGGCCCTGTGTCACAGAGGGCTGATTTGGTACCTGGCAGGCCTCGGCGCTTGAGTGCGAGTTCTCTCTCGCTTTCTCTCATGATGACACATTTCTCCTTCATTGCTGCTTTTTGGCTTTTGTTATTTCAAAGCCGCCTTCTGTCTGAGCTCTGATGGTTCTACAGAAAGATGCTGTCATTCATTAGGAAGTGATAGTTGATATTGCAATGGACTCTTCCAGACTCTGTGTGTGTGTGTGTGTTATGAGTTAATGGATCTGCAACAGCTAGCCTTTGCTCATTTCCTGGAATTTTAAAGAAAATATATGTCTTTGTCAAATATTGGCCATTGAATCATGCCATTGTCAATACAGAGAGCACCAAAATGGATAAAGAGAAGGTTCAGGCCCCCAAAGAAAGGGTCCTGTAATGACTGGACCATGACTTCCTCGCCACACTGGGAAACATGGATCAAAGCGGTGCAGAGGCCTGTCCGTGGGGGCGTGTGTGGTCGGCACGCCAGCCCTGCACGTCAGAGAGACAGCTCAAAAATCCGACAGTCAGAATTGCTTAATTATGTCCTGGCTTTGTAATTATTCATCCCTGTTCTGGCAAAGAGCACAGGTGTCATTTCCTTGACATAATTATTTAAAGCTGAGCCCTCTTGTTTATAGGCATGTATGCAAAGTTGGCTACCCACTGTTTAATCTTCAGTATCTTACGGAAGCCATGGGAAGGGCAGCTACAGGGGGCAGCTGGACTGAGAATCACAGTCGATATTAGAAAGTGTTTTGACGTGTGTGCTTTTGTTTGCATGTGTGTCCATTCTCTTATTGGTAAGAGATGATAATAGATATATTTGTGAATGTCGGTGTGTCCTTGAAGATACGTCATCCATTTCTTTATGTGGGCATACCTGATCTTCCCAGCATGTGTGGTTTGTGTATTTGTGTAGTTAGGCATAGCGTGTATATTTATGTGGGTGTATTTTCAGGTATTTGGGACCGTGGCCTATTGTGTGTGTGTGTGTGTGTGTGTGTGTGTGTGTGAGAGAGAGAGAGAGAGAGGGGTGATGTGTTAAAGGAATAAATTTCAGAACACATGTAGTTCTGGAAATCTTTCTTATTCTCTTCCTTAAACTGAAAGTTGAAAGTTATTTGGATCCAAGGATCACCTGCTCCCGTGACTACACTACACAATCCTGCTCTTGACACTGGGAGTTAGGTCCTAACTCCCCTGGGAACCTTTAATTTCTTTCCATCTGTGTCTTTGTTTTTTGTTTCCCATGAAAAAGCAGCCTAGGATGAAGTCAGGCAATGGAACCACACGGAAGCCAGCCCTCCGCTGGGATGAGGCAGCAGCTCATCCCCTGGGGTGTCAAGGGCAGGAACTTTGCAGGCTTTGTTCACTTCCCTATCTCCAGTGCTTGGTCTATGGCAGAGGCTCAGTCAATACTCATCGAAAGAAAGAATCATGAATAATAATAGAGCATATTGGAGAGCCATCAGGAAAGGCTGTACCTTTTTAAATTGCCTCAACATGGTCACCTGGAAAAGCAAGAAAGGGACCATTGCCTTCAGGCAATGTGATCATTTGAACCTGTGCACTGGCAAAAAAGCCAGACTCCGGGTGTCATATTTGTTTTTCCAAAAGACTTTCCCTGGGGTTATCTATTTATGTGATGGGAAAACCTATAGCAGCCATGATCCCCGTGCCTTGGCTTTCCTATTGGGTAGCATTTCTCGGGGAGGCAAGGCTGTGACCTGAACCTGCATGATCTTCCCTCTCTTAAAACCCACCTGCTCATATTAGGGCCTTTAAGAAATAAGTAGCTTTTCTCAGAAAATGTGTTGGGGCACCTACAAGACTGTGTGTAGTAAAAATGAGATTTTTCCCTCTCTTAGTTGTCATTATATTTTTTGTCTGTTCCATAAAGGAGCTCTGCTTAGTGGCTTCTTTGGTTTACTTAACTGTTTTTTATGCCTAGCCTAGCACTTTACTAAGTGCTAC